TGTGAAAATTAATTAATAATTAATTAGGGCTGCAAGTATAGCCGTTGGAAAGTAAATAATATTTAGAAAAAATACAATTTAAGGTCGCGCAATGAGCAATAGAGAGGGCTACGCTCGGAGTCTCTTTGAAGGATTGAATCCGAAACGAAGTGATCCGACAGAGAACCAAAGTTATAGACATAGCCCGAAGGATCAGTAAGCTGAAGTGGCAGTGGGTTGGTCACATTTGTCGAAGAACCGATAACCGTTGGGGTAAACGTGTTCTAGAGTGGAGACCGCGTCTAGGCAAACGTAATGTAGGGCGCCCTCTAGGTGGAGTGACGACATTCGCAAGGTGGCTGGCAGTAGTTGAATGAGAAGAGCTGAAGACTGAGCTCAGTGGCGTGCCATTGGAGAGGCCTATGTCCAGCAGTGGACGAATACGGGTTGATGATGATGAGAAAAAATTTGAAGATGTCGAAAAATGTATCTCACACAATTTACAGTTAAACTCACAGATTTTAGATTACAATTTGCTGGTTACAAAAAAATTGGGTGTAGTTGCATTTTTTTACTAAACCAAAAAAATGATTTCGACAGTACGAAGTTTTATTAATCGATATTTAATATTCATATGGCGAGAACTGTCTGTAACGGAAATTAACTCTTCAGGCAGCGATAATATTCGCTACTATGAAGAGCTTTCATTCCACGTTTCATTCCATGTCGCAATAAAACAGAAATGATTAAAACTGTAAAGTTTTACTAAATTAATTTTTTAGCTTCAGCGTTTTCGCTTTACATATTCAATACAACAAAAACACTTTAAAAAATAATTACGCTTCTTACCCACATGGGCATTGGACATAGACGAAGGATACACCAGAAAAAAATGAATTTGACTAGTAAAAAACCCCTTATTCTGACTATTTTCAAAGACGGAAACATCCAGAATCTTATATCGAATAGAGACCCTAACAAATCCCTTTGAAAATAAGAACCCAATCTATTATATCACAGACCTTGATCAAATAAATAAAAATATATGATTCTAGGGTAAATTGTAAGAATATTTCGGTTATGTAACGCAAAGAGCTGGCTAGTGCTCGAATTGGAAGAAATCCAAATAATATGTTGCTAGGAGGACCTATTACGTGATATAGGAATTTTATGCAGACCTAGAAAAATCTTATATTTTGACATCAAATTACATGAACATTCTGATCCATACCTAATGTAGATACGTCATTTCTCATCGTTGTAGTAGGTACGTCACTAATCTCCTCCAAAATGGCTGACACAATTTAGTTGCATACCTATATTGCGTGTATTTGACTAAATCCCTGAATAGTCGATTAACTAAAACTCTCAATGAAACGCAAATGACCATATAATTGGATGGCATTATAATTTTACCTTCACCATAATTATTACAAGGTATGTACTTATCAATATTCACCACCTAGGAAACATATTCGATACTATACGTTTCTGTGTTTCTAATTAATTACATCAGAACTGAGGCCTTAGTACGAGTTTGATGTACGTTTATAGTATTCGCAACGAGTATGCGTTCGGCACTCTGATTGGCCAGCACCAATGAACCAACCAATCACAACGCCGAACGCGTACTCGTTACGATTACTTTAAACGTAAAATGAACTCGTACTAAGGCCTCAGTTTCTTCATACACATCTCAAAGCCCTCCCTCCAATCTTCCGCAGGTCACTACAGTCTATGACTCACAAAGAAACCGACGCACGCGTCGCTGAACTGCGCCCGTTGAACTTTCTATGAAGTAGCTACAAACGTGAGGTCACGTGGTTTACCTATTATTTATGGCCCAAATTAAAAACTACTGCCTGTGATGGTTATCTTGTTTATATATATGTGCATGTGGGATGTACGTGATGTTAAAACTTAAGATGAGTTGATGCTGCCCACGCGCACTTTTCTAGGTGACGACTTTCTTTAGAGAGGTTATGGTAGTTTTGCAAAATGTTCTTGTTGATCTAGTAGCTATTCAAAGAACCTAGAATATCATCGACATTAGATTTAGATCTAATGTTGGCGTCCTAGTTAGAAGTTCTTATACATTGTATTTTGAGTTTTATGTACATTACCTAGGTAATAGATCGTATCAGACGTCTGTTTCTCCGTAACTGGATAAGTACAGATCCGAACATGTCCTAGAAAACGACCAGCTACTTAGAAACGAGCACCAGAATTCTCCAAACTTTAAGTCTTAACTGTGATTAATCCAAGAGAAGCGTAGAAGGGACATAGGAACACTTCTTCATAAGAGGAAGTTCTTTCAACAATAGCTGGTGTATTATGGCTGTTGAAGATGGATAAGTGTACCGGAATTGTACCTTAATAACAACTTCAGATCAATATTCACTTAATGTTGCCGTGCTGACTGGAAATGTCAAACACAAGACGCAATTACCCTCCCCTTCCCCAATCTCCCCAATTCCTAAATCCCAAACGATCTTCAACCTCCTAATCCCCAAAAGGCCGGTAACGCACTTGTAACGCCTCTGGTGTTCCAGGTGTCCATGGGCGACGCCGATTGCTTACCATCAGGTGATCCGTCTGCTCGTTTATCGGCTTATGCCATAAAAAAAGTTTTACTTAACTACTATGTCTAGGTGTCAGTATATAGAGGTACATATCAGTCGTAAAACTACTAACAATAATAATGACCACACAAAGATTTCTCTCAAAGAAAGAATTGCAAAAAGTAACTCCTACGCAGGGTCAGTAAACTATCACTGTATGTAGGCTAGTAATCCTATCACTTGATACCACATACAAAGTACAATGGAAACTAGACTCAATACTAACAGCTATATGACATAAAATCTAATAAACAGTGTATGATAAGTGCGACTGTGTGAACTTTGTCGTGGCTGACCGGGCAGTATTGCATTACGGCGTTGCATTCGATTACATGCGGTTTTAAGGCATAGGCGGAAGCGAGTATTGTCGAGACGTTGATTGTTTGAGAATAGGTAGTATTGTCTATTAATGAATGAATAAGAACACAGTGTATAAATATCCCTCTGCGTATGATAGAACACCATTTGGTGAAAAAGTGACTCGGTGACTCTTTCTTTGCATTTGTGAATTAATATAAATAATGAAAATTAATTACACTTTAAACAACTGTATCCAATATCCATGTATGACCTAGAATGAAGGCATACGTACAGCTAATATATCCAAGATTTCTTCAAATTCAAATTCAAATTCATTTAATTAATTGTGAACATAGGTAACATTGGGGTCTTAAATATCAATTTTAAACGCTATGTTAGCTTTTTATTTATTTAACACTTTTTATACAAATGTAGATATACAATGGCAGAGTTATTGCCGAATGGCATTCTCTGCCAGCCAACCATAGGGTGATGCAGAGAAGTGTTACAGTAGGTTTTAAAAGAAGTATTTTTATTGTCTGCCTGAAAATTAAGAACCACTCTATTTTCCTTAAACCTTAGATAACCATATTACTAAAACACATTCAGCAATAGAATGAACATTCAACTATCTTCGCCAAATTGAATAGCAGCTCTAAGATCTAAGCACATAAACAAAGCTTTGACTTCAATATCCAAATATGGAATTAGTAAAGACAAATCCAGTAACGGTCATTGACCTGCATCCGGCATCGGCCATTGAAAATGGCGCCATAAATTGCTCATTGTCCAAGAGCCCGCGACCGCTCGTAACTTGACATCAAAGTGGACTGGCTGAATTAGTTTAGTTCACTCGAACTAAATTAATGTTTGTCTATGGCTCTGCCCTAAAAGGCCTGGTATTTTAGTCTATGCTTTGATCCACAGATAAGGAAGCGATCTAACCACAATGTAGTGTAATTAACCGTTATTTATTTATCCTTAAACTGGCGCCTGTATGGTTAATGTGCACGTAATTTTTATGTATATTTTTCTTATTTTATGTGCGGTTTTTAATGTTAATTTTATAGATGGTAGTAACTGCTACCGGTAAAGTTATACTCGAGCGAATACTGAGAATGCGTTCGGATTTTACTCACTTTTATTAGATATATTGATTTGATAACCTATTATAAATGGAATACTTTATGTTTTATAGCATTGCTACAACATGGAATGGGTAGCTACACTCATTCCAAAACTAATTAATCATTTTTAAGTACCTAACACATAACATAACATCACACCTTTTATCCCCGTAGGGGTACATTATGCCACTGTACAATGTAACACCCAGTTTTTACTATTTATGTTATGAGTCCCATGTAATAGGGGGTGAGCCTATTGCCATATACCGGGCACAATTCCAGACTCCGTGCTACTACTGTAATTTTTAGAAAACCCAGTTATACTTTGCCCGACCCGGGAATTGAACCCGAGACCAGCAGTCGCACTTGCGACCACTCGACTAATGAGGCAGTCCTTAAGTACCTACTATAGAAAAGATTCTAGTATTTCTGTTTGAATGTTTTTCCATAACTAATCTAAAAACACAGAAACAGAATCTCTTCTAAAAGCCATTTTTTGAAAAATCTAGTATGAAACCGACATGCAAGCACGTAAAACAGATTAAATCTGGTCGGTAAAGCATGGTGGCCATTTGTAAGCCATCCATGGCGGGCTGTGCATGAGTTATAGCGGCTCGCGTCGCATCACCCTGTGAACTGAACAGAGTAAACAAAGAGATTTGTTGGTGTTACCCGTGTTTTAGGGTGCGGTTGCAGTGCTAGCGGCTATGCCATGAATAGTGAATGTTTGTAATTTGCGTGCCTTTTGGTGTTTCTTCTCTGAGTATTCGAATAGGAAATGCTGACCTCATTATAATTAAGTTCTGAACAATATACTAATTTTCAAAAGTACTATTTATTATTAAAAGAAAACCGTGTTTAAAGTAAGATTATAGTTGTGATACCAGAAAAAGGTATTCTGTCAAGGCCAAAATTTTAATAAAAATATCAAATGTCTATACTAAACATTCTCAAACTCTAATAAATCACATACCTGAAACAGCAGATATCCAGACTCATACATCCAGAAGTCATCGGGCGCGTTGCCTGGCTTGCTGAGTTGTATCGCGAGGCAACGCTGCAGTATCAGCTGGCAGCGCTGCCCCCCCGCTCCGCGACCGCTCATGCCTTACACGGGGGGCGGCATGCTCTGTAAATAATAGAAAATTGAATTTAGATTCTCTGTTCAGAAATCTTAACCACAGGATAATGACAAAGGTAAATTTATTATGACGAATATTTTTTTAAGTACACGAACTTGGACAAGTGAGGAGTTAAACCTATGAAGTAAGTACAAAGTATTTGCTTCATGGTTTTAAGTTTGAGTAACTTAATCTGATGTTCCGATCACTTTCACGTAAGAAAGGATGAAAAAAAAGTTGCGAGGAAAAAATTATTAAAGAAATCTTTTGACTGCGATTTATTACTAAGAATTATCTGCCAGCGAAATGTGCAATCGGTGTAAAAATAAAGTCAATATTCTCGTATCAAAAAATGATTCTCACGTAAAATTACCATTATTATTACAGTAAAAATCGTATAAAAACGCCTTTCCTATTAACGTATTAGATATTTTTATACCCGTTTCCGCTGTTAGAGCGACCACGAGTTTACGTCCTAAGCTTGTTTATTTTAAATACTGTCTCAATCGTTTCGTTTTAACTAATTTGAACATCTAAAGAGAATGTCTCATCCATTACCTTACCGTATTAAACAAAAAGTTCCAAGAAAGAAATACGAAATCACTTCCTTTACCTAAAAAGAAAAAAGATTTAAAAAAATAAACTCGTCAATTACGTATAAAGTACATAATTATGTAAATAGTTTTTACTACGCAATAGAATCTGGTGCGATATGTCAGTGACATTGAAAATCCCGGCAGTCGATCAAACTTTAGATAAATTGACACAGGATTATTTATCTGAGGCCCAAAAATAAATTCGTGAAGATTACATCTAATACCGATGATAAATCTAAACGGATGTTGAAACGACAGATCAATGACAAAAATTGGGGAATAATTTAAGAAATGACGTCAAAAATGACCTTCAAATCCCCGTAATTTGTCTTTTGAAACACCATATCTAATGATTTAAATGTAACAATAGCCTAACAAAAGAATGGTAAACTAAATACATAAGTAAGTACTAATAACTGAACGTAGATCGCCAGTGGGAGACCCTTGACATGACAGTTTGAGAACAAGGTGACATTAGGTATTGTTTACAATGTCCTTTAAATAGCGTTTGCGGTTGTCTTAAAGCGGATACGTAATAGAGTATCGGGTAAATGCTATTTACGATTTTAAGGGATATACATATAGGTATAGTAATTTTGTATTATAACTTGGAAGTACTTTATTTTATATGGTTATAATATGGGTTAGTACTGGCAATTACAGTTGAACTTAATGAATAAGGTAATTACGTTGATATTGGTACCTACTGTTTATACAGAACTTAATTAGTTAAACAGTAAACTTCCATTTTACAGCTGATTTTTTTATTAAATCATTAATATTATATATCTTAAATTGGAAAGGTTGAAATTATCTGTTCCTTTGAGGCTTGGGCACTGATTGTCGAAATATAGGCAATGCTGTTCGACTACAGAAGCTAAAATCATATTAACTTTGAAAAAATTATAATTTTTATTAAGTGCTTAAGTACAAATAAATTATTATTGTTTATTATTTTCATATACCATATGAACAGAGATTTCATTTAGTTACACAAAATGATAATATAATAATAAACCTATTAAATAAGAAATACTAAATTATAAACAATAAAGTGTTGAGTTACGTTCTGAAATTGTCACTTAACAAGAACTGGAGTAATTATATAAGCGAAGTAATTCTCAACATCTAAACTAACAGCTTTTAGCGAAACCATTACCATATTCATTCCGTTGCTGACAAACATATTTTTCATTCCAATACCACTTTAGTACTGTGACATAAAGCTTATATTTGTCTGTTTATATTTAGTTTAATTTGGTATAAAGTTAAGTGTATGATAAACTCTGAGGCTAGTACAATGAGTTTACATCATATTATGTAAATGATTTACCGCGCCGGGAAGAGATAATACCTATAATTTAAATGTTTTTACTCGATTCCTTGTAAATTATTTGAAATATTTGTTTCGATATGAATAATGGAAAAGTGGTTCAATTTCCTGCTAAATATGAGCTGTTTATGAGTGTTGTGGACTTTATTTTGACGGTGATATAGCTCAATCTTATTTGATATGTATTATGTAATAATAATAATAACTTTATTCGCCAAGTGAAATAAGTTACATAGTTTAAAACATATGAGCCAGTAACAGATTTCATATATGTATATAGTTGTTGTTGTTGTATATATCTACAGTTATAGTTATTCAGTCACAACTATCATGGCGTTGTTACTACCACACATGGTATTATACAGGTGTAACCGGAACGCTCCCGAAAAACGCTAATAGGTTATAGTCAAAAACCAGTTTTATTTTCTTGAAAGTAAAGAATTAAATGTTTCCTTTATGTAATAACTAGCTTTTACCCGCGGCTTCGCTCGCGTTACAAAAGGATAAAAAGCTAATGTGACATATACCAATACACACAGCGTCATCTATACCAATAATTTCGTTTTCCCTCGAGAATATCAAATTTTTCTGGGATAAAAAGTACCCTATTATTTAATCCAGACTTCTAACTTTACGTCTGCAAAAATTCAAAGCAATCGGTTTAGTAGTTACGGCGTGAAAGCGGAACAAACAAACTAACTCACTTTCCGATTTATAATATTATATAGTAAGGATTGTTGTAAATAATCGCTCAACTGACGTTGTACGAATAACATGTAAACAACAACAATTTAAATTTTATAAACTATTATTTTTTGTCAGCGTTTTTCGGGAGCGTTCCGTTTATTTATTTATTTATTTAAACTGTCAAACACCAAGCGGTCACCGGTGACCGCAACCTATTGTTCTATAATTGTGTCTATAATGTCGGTACTCGACGAGTTAAAGCTTCATGCACAAAATGTACATAAGGTGGACTTAATGCCGCAGGCATTTTCTCCCAGTCTGACCTTTGGGTGATGCAGAGAAGTGTTAATGGTGTGAGCAAGAAGCAAGCAACTATTTAATAGAGCAAATAAAATAGATGTTTACACCCTGTATATAATACATTTATATATAAGTAATACATTTCCGTTTACACCCTGTATATATATAATTCTATGATACGTAAGTATATAGACTATCTACAATTAATAAGTCCCGGTTTTGTATCCATCAAGCCATAAGTATGAGCTCCAAAAAATCGACATTTTTATGTCTTGTCCTCAAATTCTTGATGCTTTTAAAATCTTCTTCTTTTTAAATCCGTTTCGCAAAAGAGGTTGCATACATCTTCATAACTCTTTATCCTCTATTACCTACTTATTCTAAAGTTCCTTGTGGAATTTACATCAACCATCTTATGTTATTCTGATTCTCTATTAAGTGTAAAATTCTGGAAAAAACCATCGAAATAACACAAAAATCTCCATTTCCTTGCAAAGTTCGCGTGTCTATATCACACCGAACGAATCGCGCCTCCATTTTGGATATTAAGGCCGTGCTACACTGTCCGTCCGCAGGCGCCATTATAACGGCATCAGTGCCAATGTAAATGTTGTGTAACGCACTTTTTGTTACGAATCTTACTTTACGTCATAGAACGCTGAACGTCTTCGCATTTTAGTATGTAGTAGCTATATTGTTTCGAATGGGTATTTTAGAGAGGTTAAGATTGGGCAAAAATAGGTCTGAAGAAGTTAATACGACCATACCTAGTTTTCGTTTAGATATATTAACAACGATAAAACTTTCTCCGCTTATTTCCACTGAATGTTTGAAAACGAAGGGAATATGAAAAATTACATGATTTTCTGGTCAATCGTTCGCTAAATTACTTTTATTCTTAAAAGATATTGCAGAATTACTTGCATCTACCAATAACCAGCGCTTATTCTACCGGAGACATCAATATTTAAAAAAATACTCTCTGTTATAATGAAATGAACTCATAATGACTGACAAAAATTTAGTGTTACAATGACATTGTATAAGTACACATTTGGACGCCTGTCCTCTATTTTGGTATTAAAGACTATATATAATGTGTTGTTAAATGACGATGCATCCAAAAAATTCAATGAAAGTTTTCAATATCTTTTTTCACATTTCGAATTGTGATAAATCAGTAATACTAAAATACACCCGAATCGGATATCAAACCCCAACACCTTAAGCTCAGCAGCTCTACCAAGGCGGTCAATGTCAAATAAATTAACCGGTTTACTGGACCTACTTTAATAACATAAGACGATATGTACATGACTACACGTCAAGTTATGAAAAAACTAGTATAAGCTGACCTTCAAGTGTGCAGAAAGATGATACAAACTGAGATCTAGATAAACTGGTTTGTATAACTAGATGTGTTCACATAACTTAATTTCACACAAACAAACAGTCACCCACTTTAAGAGCTTTGCAGATAAACTACTGCGAAAAAATATACATAAAAAGGAATATTTTTGTTTGTATTTTTTTTTTTTTATTTTTTTTTTTATAAAAAAAACGTTGCCCCACACTAGGATTTTCTCCTGTGTCGTGGGTGCGTTTACAAACATACAAGTTCACATACACATGACACCCAGACCCGGAACAACATTGTGGATCACACAAAGAATTGTTCCGTGCGGGAATCGAACCCGCGACACGTTGCGCGGCAGCCAGTTGCCCAGCCAACGCGCCAACCGTGCAGTCATATATGTAAGTACTTTCTTTAAAATCAGTATGACATGTAATATTGAGCTTGACAAGTTGGCATGAAGACTTGTAATTGCATCTTTTTATTCGTAACACGATGACACTTCAAAATTAAGCGGGTTTTTTTAATAATACTCGTTTTTAGGGCATTGGAACAGGCTAATAATGTTTTTATTGAGACATCGACATACATTTAAATATACGTACATCTGTTTATACCCCAAAAGCCTCTTGTCCTAACTACAGCAACATGTAGTTGATCTATTTTAGAGTTTATTTAATTAACGACACTCATTTTATGCATCATTCAATATGGTGCATGATCCTAGTAAGTAACAGA